GGAGGAGGAGGAGGAGGAGGAGGAGGAGGAGATTGGATTTATACCCCGCCCTTCACTTGGAGTCTCAGAGCGGCTTACAAACTCCTTTCCCTCCCCCTCCCCACAACAGACACCCTGTGAGGTGGGTGGAGCTGAGAGAACTCTGACACAAACTGCTCTTTCAGGAACAGCTGTGCCAGAGATTGTGACTGACCCAAGGTCACCCAGCCAGGTGCAAGTGGAGGAGTGGGGAATCAAACCCGGTTCTCCCAGATTAGAGTCCACACACTCAACCACTACACCAAACTGGCTCTCCTCTTCTCCCTTTCTCACAATAGAAGAACTGCTGGGCACTCCATGAAACTGATGAGCAAGTAGGCTTAGAACAGACCAGAGGAAGTCCTTCTTCACCCAAAGAGTCATGATGAACACGTGGAATTCCCTGCTGCAGGAAGTGGTGGTGGCTACAAGAATAGACAGCTTCAAGAGGGGACTGGATAAACTTATGGAGCAGAGGTCCATCAGTGGCTATTAGCCACCAGGTATAGACGGAACGCTCTGTCTGGGGCACCGATGCTCTGTATTCTTGGTACTTGGGGGGGGCAACAGGGGGAGGGACTTCTGGAGTTCTGGCCCCGCTGGTGGACCTCCTGATGGCCCCTGGTATTTCTGGCCACTGTGTGACACAGAGTGTTGGACTGGATGGGCTGTTGGCCTGATCCAACATTGGCGTCTCTTACGTTCTTATGTTCTTATGCCATTCTTGATTTTGTCAGTGTTCAAGTCATTAGCCACAAGGTATAGATGGAAGACTGTCTGGGGCAGGGATGCTCTGTATTCTTGGTTCTTGCAGGGCAACAGTGGGAGGACTTCTGGAGTTGTGGCCCTGCTGGTGGACCTCCCGATGACCCCTGGGTTTTGGGCACTGTGTGACACAGAGTGTTGGACTGGATGGGCCACTGGACTGATCCAACATGGCTTCTCTTATGTTCTTATGTCTGGGGCAGGGATGCTCTGTATTCTTGGTGCTGGGGGGGCCACAGTGGGACGGCTTCTGGAGTTCTGGCCCCGCTGGTGGACCTCCTGATGGCACCTGAGTTTTGGCTACTGTGTGACACAGAGTGTTGGACTGGACGGGCCATTGGCCTGATCCAACATGGCTTCTCTTATGTTCTTCCCTCCACTCATTGCAATGGATTATTCTTCCATTGGTCCAGTCCACTGCAACAGAATGTCAATGAAGCCCTCTTGCCATTCACAAATATGCCCGTTCCACTGGAACAGTCTCCCCTTCAACAACACCAGCTGTCTCTACCTATCCTCTGACACCAGCCGGGGGTGTTGTAGCAAAACGTTCATATTTTTTTCGCAGTGGAACCTTTTATAGGAAGACCACCATTTTCTTTTATGACAATACCATCCACGGGATCTGTTCATCTGCCTTTCTCATGGCAATGGAGCATCTACCGCAGGGCTCCTCAACGTGGTGCCCCCCAGAGACCATGTCGCCCACCCAGTAGGGCTGCAAGGTCTACTTACCTGGCCAGTGGGGGGTGGGAGGGAGCCTTCCGGGAGTCAGGGAGGGCAGGGAGACATTGCTGCACACGACATCATCGACACAATGGCATCACGCGGAAGTGACGTCATCACACCAGGCACATTGTGTGGTGACGCTCTAGCATTTTGTTCAAAACTCTATGGTTACCATAGAGTTTTCGCCAAAATGCTAGAGAATCGACATGCAACATGCCCGGCATAATGATGGACTTGCACATGATGTTATCGCACCGACAACATCGAGGCAGGAAGGGGCTGCAAGCTATCCGGCAGTGGATTGGAGCCCCTGAAACCGGGGGGAAACCCACCCCAACTGGGGGTCTGGCGACCCTACCACCAACACCTTTCCTGGTCCCCATCAACTGTTTTTAGAAAGTGGGTGGGATCAGGTGGGGCTTTTCCCCAGAGGGGCTTCTAATAGGCCTATGGAGATTTGATTCACTGGGCAGATTTTTTAAAAACGTTGTTCGGCAGAAGCTACCAGCAAAGCACAAGGAGCTTCTCTGTGTGGCTGAAGGAAAACCGCGGCATCCATTTTGTTGCTGGCTCCACCGCATGCAGCGGCCATTTTGTGGCGGCCATTTTGTGGCTGTCCCCACCATGCTGTGTCAGAATTACCAAGGGGCTTTTGCCCAACAAGGCTTCTAATAGGCCGGTGGAGATTTGATTGTCTGTGCTAGGGTTGCCAAGTCCATCTTCCACCCCCAGCAGGGGACTTAGGGGGCATTCCTGCGTTTCCCTTTTAAGAGCACGAAGCTGGCACTCCGGGCTTGGGAGGAAACACGGGTTCCACACACTCAAAGGGAGAGAGAGGGGTGGGTGTGGGTGTTGGGGGTGGGGCTTCCCCCGCCGGCCACCTGGCCGGTGGGCGGGTAGAACCCCCCCAAAATCGGGGGACCCCTGGCAAACCGGGGAGGGGGGTTGGCAACCCTAGTCTGTGCAGATTTTTTAAAACGTTCGGCAGAAGCTACCAGCAAAGCACAAGGAGCTTCTCTGTGTGGCTGAAAGTAAGCCGCGGCGGCCATTTTGTGGCTGGCTCCACCACATGCGGCGGCCATTTTGTGGCGGCCATTTTTGTGGCTGTGCCCACCGGGCCATGTCAGAATCACCAAGGTGCCCACAGGCTCAAGAAGGTCAGGGACCCCTGATCTACAGAATAACTCCAGCCTGCTATTCCCCCTTGACGTGACCCACTGGAATATTCTCCCACTTGACCCCACCGCCTCCTCTTATTTCAAATCCCCGTCCCTTTTACTCCCTCCGACTCAAGGTACTCACCCTGACCAGACGGGCTCTCTTGACGAGATCATTGAGCTTCCTCAGGGCAGAATTCCGGGGCAGGTTCTGGATGTCCGTGAACAAGTCCTGCTCCTCGAGCTCAAAGAGCCGTCGGTTGTCGGAGATGAGCAGGGGCTCCGACCAGAAGGACCCGATGTAGACACGCAGCACCTCGGGGGTATTGAACACTTTGCCCAGCGACCACATGAGTGCGCCGTAGACCCGCATCAGCTGCTGCGTCTCCACCATGTCGGCCTTGTTCAGGACCACCCGGATCTTGTCCTCGTTGCCCTTGAGGGCCCGGATGGCCTCCGAGAACTCGTCGGAGATCTCCAGCTTGTGGGCGTCGAAAAGGAGGATGATGAGGTCCACGCGCTCGGCGAACCACTGCAGCACCGCCGGGAAGTCGTAGCCTGCGCGAGAGAGGGGAGAGGCTTCTCAAATAAAGGGTTATTTTTGTGTGAATGAGTTATGCTAATGAGTTCCCCTAGCTCTTTTTCTACAAAACGACCCCTGGTGTGTATGCTTAAGGAGCCTGTTTGTATTTGTTTATTTACATGTTATTCGCAGTGTTCCCTCTAAGCTGAGTTAGTGTGAGCCAGCTCACAGCTTTTTTAGCCTCCAGCACACACGTTTCCATAGAATCATAGAATGTTAGAGATGGAAGGGACCTTGCAGGTCATCTAGTCCAACCCCCTGCACTCTGCAGGAGCCTAGCCGAAAGATAGCCCTACAACATACCCAAAAGATGGTCGTCCAGCCTCCGCTTGAAAACGTCCAGCGAAGGAACCTCCACCTCCTCCTGAGGCAGTCTGTTCCACTGCTCAAACACTCTTACTGTTAGGAAGTTTCTCCCGATATTTAGCCAGTATCGACTCCCTTGTAATTTCCACCCACTAGATCGAGTTTTCGTCTTAGCTCCGGGAAGAGGGCTCCAGAGCAAACTCATTGATGCAGCAGCCAAATCTCTTGCTCACAACTTTAATGCCAGTCGCTCACAAAGCAGAGTTTTTGCTCACAAGACTCCATGGCTTAGAGGGAGCATCGGTTGTTTTGTCGTCTGCCTCTCTTACAGAGACTCAAAAGTGGATTACACAGGGGTGAGTCGGTGCAAGCGACCAAATAGGGCATTCAGGAACCAAACGCTTTCGGACAGTAGAAGTTTGGAAGCACCAGAAAGCATTGAAGCGCCGCATCGGTATTCACATGACACATACTCCTAACCACTACACCAAACTGGCTGGGTGACCTTGGGCCAGTCACACAGTCCCAACCTCGCCCACCTCACAGGCAGGGGTCATTTCCTGCGGGAGCGCACAGGAGCGGAGCTCCGGCAGTAAAGAGCCCAGGGGGCGGGCACATGCAACAAGCCCCACCCCCTGCTCCCAGCAGCCCTCAGTTGGGCCACGAGGAGCAAGAAGCAGCCAGGTAAATTACAGAGACCCCCCTGGCCCAAGGCAGTCCAGTGGCACCTTTAAGACCAAGTTTTATTCAGGTACAAGCTCTCCCTCCTCTGTGAGGACAGATCTGCACGTCCGTCCGTCCCCCATAGGTGGCAATCCAAAACAGTCCAGTGGAGCCTGAGTGGTGGGTGTTGCCTTCTGACACACTTCCGGTGATGTCAGGGGGTGTGGCATATGCAAATAAGTTATGCTAATGAGTTATGTTAATGAGCTCCTGCACCTCTTTTTCTACGAAATGACCCCTGCTCACAGGGTTGTTGTGAAGAGCCTCTAGACTGATCCCACATTGGACAGGGGGTTCGGCTAGATGGCGTGCATGCCCCCTTCCAGCTCTATGAATCTATGAGGATGAAACGGAGAAGGGAGAAATGTTGTAAACCACTCTGGCTCCCCGCAGGGGTAAACTGAGGTATCAATGTTATAAATCTACAAATAAAAAGAGACACGTGCCCTAGTATTGCTAGCAAACGCCAGGAAATCCCTTCTTTCCCCCCTCGCTCGTTCTTCTCAAACACACACACCCCAAAAGAACACTTTCGTAACTTGTACCTGTTTCTGAAGGTACAAAGACATCTACGCAAGGGGATTAAATGTACCTTGCAAAATTAAGCCATTGTGTGTTAGCTTGCATTCACTACTGCTCCCTTCTCAGAACCCGGAGGCCTCTCCTGTCCTCACAGTACAGATGATCACACCTTATACTGAATCACACCCTTGGTCCATCGAGGGAAGTATTGTCTGCTCACACTGGCAGCAGCTTTCCGGGGTCTCAGGCGGAGGTCTTTCCCATTCCCCTCCTGCCTGGTCCTTTAAACCAGAGATGCCGGGGATTGAACCTGGGACCTTCTGCATGCCAAGCAGAGGCTCTGCCACTGAGCTACAGCCCCACTTCATGGCTCTCTAGGGTGTCAGGTGGAGGTCTTTCACATCCCCTCCTGCCTGGTCCTTTTAACTAGAGATGCCGGGGATTGAACCTGGGACCTCCTGCATTCCAAGTAGAGGCTCTGCCACTGAGCTACAGCCCCACTTCATGGCTCTCCAGGGACTCAGGCGGAGGTCTTTCACATCCTCTCCTGCCTGGTCCTTTCAACTGGAGAAGCCGGGGATTGAACCTGGGGCCTTCTGCATGCCAAGCAGAGGCTCTGCCACTGAGCCACGGCTCCACTTCATGGCTCTCCAGGGTCTCAGGCGGAGGTCTTTCACATCCCCTCCTGCCTGGTCCTTTCAACTGGAGATGCCGAGGATTGAACCTGGGACCTTCTGCATGCCAAGCAGAGGCTCTGCCACTGAGCCACAGCCCCACTTCATGGCTCTCCAGGGTCTCAGGCGGAGGTCTTTCACATCCCCTCCTGCCTGGTCCTTTCAACTGGAAATGCCGGGGACTGAACCTGGGGCCTTCTGCATGCCAAGCAGAGGCTCTGCCACTGAGCTACAGCCCCACTTCATGGCTCTCCAGGGTCTCAGGCGGAGGTCTTTCACATCCCCTCCTGCCTGGTCCTTTCAACTGGAGATGCCGAGGATTGAACCTGGGACCTTCTGCATGCCAAGCAGAGGCTCTGCCACTGAGCCACAGCTCCATTTCATGGCTCTCCAGGGTCTCAGGCGGAGGTCTTTCACATCCCCTCCTGCCTGGTCCTTTCAACTGGAAATGCCAGGGACTGAACCTGGGGCCTTCTGCATGGCAAGCAGAGGCTCTGCCACTGAGCCACAGCTCCATTTCATGGCTCTCCAGGGTCTCAGGCGGAGGTCTTTCCCATCCCCTCCTGCCTGGTCCTTTCAACTGGAGATGCCGGGGATCGAACCTGGGGCCTTCTGCACGCCAAGCAGAGGCTCTGCCACTGAGCCTCAGCCTCTCTGCAGTAGATGAGTGCTGGTATATCACCCTAAGAGATACATGCACAAGGATTCTCTGAAACAGCCTGTGCTATAACTGTCAAGGGCAGGGAAATTGCAGAAATATCACCGCTGATGAAACCACAGCCCTATCCTTGAACTCCGACCAACTAGGCAAAGGGGAGAGAGGAGAACTAACCAGACTACATTGCGTTTGCAAGGAAGACGCCTGCCCTCCGTTCCAGGAGCGGATCAAGTAAAGACAGATGCATCTTTTTTGAGTACAAGGTGTGCCTGCCATTTTAATCCAGAAAAAAAGCCCCGTGCCTAGGGTTGCCACGTCTGGGTTGGGAAATACCTGGAGATTTGGGGGGGTGGAGCCTGGGGAGAGCAGGGTTTGGGGAGGGGAGGGGTCTCAGCAGGGTACAAGGCGATAGAGTCCTCCACCCCCACCCCCAAAAACCAGCCATTTCCTACAGGGGAGCTGATCTCTGTTGGCTGGAGATCGGTTGTCCTAGCGGGAGATCAGGCACCACCTGGAGGTTGGCATCAAGACTGATGCCAAGTAATCTGGTCAGAAACAGTGAGGGACTGCCTTTCCCCACATGTTCCTCAGAGAGCACTAAGATCAGGGTCCCAAAATTGTCTGGTCCTTCCAGGCCCTAAAGAAGCCAGGCTGGCTGCGACGAGGGCCGGGGCCTTCTCAGTGGTGGCCCCGGCCTGGTGGAATGAGCTCCCGGAGGACCTCAGGGCCTGGTGGGACCTTTTCCAGTTCCGCAGGGCCTGCAAGACGGAGCTCTTCCACCAGGTTTTCGATTAGGGTCCCGCCCTTCCAACAACCAAGCCTGGCCCCGATACCAACGCCCAGGGCTTTTTTTGTAGAAAAAGCCCAGCAGGAACTCATTAACATAACAGGCCACACCCAACAGCAGACACTCATTAGTATAGTAGGCCACACCCCTGACAGCACAGCGTATTAGCATATTAGGCCACACCCCCATGTTACCAGAAGTGTGGTCATCCAGCCACACCCACCTTTTGCTTCTTATTCTGTTTACCTTGTTTGTTGTCAAAACCCAGGGCCTTTTTTTGTAGCAGGAACTCCTTTGCATGTTAGGCCACACACCCCTAATGTAGCCAATCCTAATGAGTTCCTGCTGTTGGGTGTGGCCTATTATGCTAATGAGTTCCTGCTGGGCGTGGCCAACTCGGGAGCCAGCCGGAACTCCGTTCCTGCCCAAAAATAGCCCTGCAACGCCAACTCGATATGATCGATAGCCTGACAAAACCCAGACTACAGTGGCAGTAGATCACATGGATGCTGCAAACGGCGCCATCGGCTATGAATTATACTAGCACTTTATGAAATGTTTTATTCTGTATCGTTTGTGATTTTATCTAAATATGGAGTTTTAACTGTTTCGTTGTCTGTAAGCCGCCCTGAGCCTGCCTCCAAGGAAACTGATGTCTGTCGTCTGGAGGTCACTCGTAATTCCAGGAAAACAAGCCCCTTAGTCGCCTGGCGATCTGCAATGCCGAAACCGGGGAAATCAAATGTACCCACACAACCAGTGTTCCCACTAAGCTGAGTTAGTGTGAGCTAGCTTGCAGTCTTTTAGCCTCCGGCTCACACATTGTTTGTCTTAGCTCAGGGAGGAGGGCTCCAGAGCAAACTGATTGATGCAGCAGCCAAATCGCTCGCTCACAGCTTTAATGCCAGGAGCTCACAAAGTAGAATTTTTGCTCACAGGACTCCACAGCTTAGAGGGAGCATTGCCCACAACTGTGATGAAAAACGATTTCAGCCAGAGTTAACGAAGGCCTCTTAAGGAACTGCCCTAACTGCTCATTTTTCACATGTCAGTTCCAGTGTTCCCTCTAAGATGTTAGTGTGAGCCAGCTTACAGTTTTTTAGCCTCCGGCTCACACATTTTTTGTTTTAGCTCAGGAAGGGATGGCTCCAGGGCAAACTGATTTTTTATATATATAACAGATTTTATTAATGTCACAGGAAGATTCTACAAATACATGAAATGAAAAGAAATAAGAAACAGAATAGAAGAAGAAGAGAAGAAGAGATTGGATTTATACCCCGCCCTTCTCCTGCCTCCTCCTGG